CAGAAGTGGTAGTACCACCGTTTGGCCACTTTGGACATTTGCTTTAACACTTCCATGGGACTTGAACAGCTCCCCAACAGTGAAGCAGAATATCTTGATATGGCTGCATTATAGAACAGGAATCTGACTACGTTAGCTTATGGGACATGGGCCAAGCCAAATCTCGAATGCATCTAAATAAAGTAGTGTCTTGCGAGATGTAACCTAAACTTTCCATAACCTTCACAGAGTCTGTGTGATAGAACATCTTTCAATTCGGTTATAAATCCAGTTATAGAGATATTATGTAAAGTTGCTGTGTTTTTCTAAACCAATCTCTACCATGGCGTTAACGTCTAAGTGGTAATTGCTAGCAAGCTTGTGTCATGCTCGGCTTGCGATTGGCTCATTCTTGTGTGGGTGGGGCTTCGATACTGTGGCTTAAGCCCCTCCCACCTGATCACTACTGTTCAGATTCTGGCTCAAAATAATGCCAAAATCTCAAGATGGCAAGATATTTTCCTCTGCTTTTGGGAAATGGGAGAAAGTGGGGACGCATCCTCCATCTTTATATATATTCTTCGACAAGGACTCAAAATAACAAATAAGGAATTACATCATAAATACATCCTGAAAAACTGAAATTGGTAACTCCTTGGAGTTCTGCACGTGTGTGTGCGCACTGGTAAAAGACTGAAGATTACATGCAAAGGGTCGTGCTTATGCACATGTTTGCACAGATGGATTTATATATCGTTTTGTCGTGTATACGTGTGTTCACTTATGGATCTTGTCTGGTTGTCAGACTGGACACCGTCTGAAATTGATCTCCTCCATCCTACTTGGCTTGTGTAAGAGCATCATGACTGATTGTTGACCCAGTATCCCTGTTGTAATCTCCTGCCCTGATACCTGAACATAAACAAACCTGTGTTTAAGAAGTCAGTTTGTAACTTGGCAAAATACAGTTCTGTCATTTTTATGAATTAAACTTATGAATTAATATGTTGTACTTTTACCCTACATATATGAATGAATAGAGAAGATTGTAGAAGGTTTGAATAAAAGATGAAGATATTCTGAAATAATAAACACATAGAAGCTCTCACAAGTAGGATGACTTATGCAACAGCTCAGCACGTTCAAATCATCTGCTCCATTGACTTTATTTGTGTGTACCTAGTTAATCCTAACCACTGATAGAAGACATAGACAACTCTGTGATTCTGTTTGAGCATTAGTGTAGAGAGATAACAGGCAACACTAGAAACTGATCAAGTCTGAATGACTCGTATTGAACATCAATCATTTGTAAACAGTAAGCACTACAATCGGGTACGCTGCTTTGATTAAATCTTGATTGGAAGGCTTGAGCCCGATAGAGCAGAGAATGTTAAGATTGAGGCCTGAAGTGATGGCCGCAGAGAGAAAGATTACATCTGAGTTTATGTAGTCATCCATGTCATTGCGTGCAGTCAAACTCAATATGTGGAAAAGAGCCAACCAAACACCGACACACATACACACTGTGAACATAAACAGCAGTTTCCTGCCAGTGAGTTAAACCAACGCACCCCCGTCATTGTTCACAACATTTCTGATGTTGCATAATTACAATTAACTGCCAAAAAACAGCCTGCACCAGGTGTCTCTTTAATACGGAGCACAACCAATCCTTTATTTAGGTTTTATTGTCCTGAAATGTTAAGCTGCTAAAACAAACCGTTACTCACTTCCTTTTTTGTATTGTTGGAAGGAAACCTGAGAAGCAAGCAGAGTGACAAAAAAATAAATGCTCCCTCTCCTTTACAAGTAAGTGCAACATACTCAATTATAATTAAATATATTGCCTTCAAAATAATATATAAGGGAAAGTTTGAGGTGTGGGGAAACATGCATTTTTCTAAAGGAGACGATCAATACCCCTTTCCAGTCTGCACTATAAATATGAAGGGACAAGCTCAGCTCAAAGCCTGCAAACAGCAGAGAACATACAGCCTGGCTCTGTCCTCAGGCAAGCACTAACAGGCACATCTAAGGCTCACAATGTACCACTATTTAAGTATAACCTGAACCATAGAAACAACATGTAATTACATTATCAAAAGTAAAAGTATGTATACTTTAGATTTTTATATATTTGAATGTTTTTACTGATGCATTAGCAGCTTTTTTAGGCCCCGCTCACACGGGAACGTTTGCGTTTATGCACAGTATGCGTATTCAAAAAAGTCTTCCGTTCACATGCATTCGTTTCATTTAACGTGTCTGTTCAAACGAGGCCGCTGGAAACGCTGTAGTACATATGCCGGGACTGTAAGTGGCGCTGTAACTTCCGCCAAAATACACCAAAAGCAGCGAAGAAGAGCAGCCCAGCAGCCCCGCCGCAATGTTGCCATGGCTACCCTTCTGTTCAAGCCCCGCGGTGTATTTAGCAACATGTAGTTCATGTAATTCTCCATGTCCACTTGTTGCTGATGGTTGTGGTAGAGGAGCTGTATATTTTTGCACTAATATCTGTAGCATGGTCAGTAGCAGTAGCACTAGCAGTAGCTACTGACAGGAGGAAGTGTGTGTGGCGATTGCTGGTATTCAGCGGGATATAGTAATTTCCTCAGCATATGGATAAATGCAACGGGGAAGTTAACTGAAAGAAACCGAATCTGTGGATATTGCATCGACCGACCAAGAAGCACGTCTCCGTGGAGAGGACGCGCTCAGAAAGAGAGATATTCTCTCCAAACACCGGGTGAGATCCTCCTTTGTCAATATAATGGATCAATGCATGAAATCTGACTCTGTTTATTTTGTTTAAGGAGTATATTGGGCGTTAACAATTCTGGTTTGCCTTTTATAATATTATTTCATTCAAGAACCCCTTGTGCGTTTAATTAACACAGCTATTTTTGATAGTTGCTACAGCAGTGAGCAGGAGAGGTGGGGCTATCGCTATTTTTTCAGGAAATATTCGTATAGAGGTGATTACACGGACTCGGTTGACCCCCCAGAGCGTTTCGTTTGCAAATCTATCCACCTTGGGACCCGTTATTGTTTGTGGGGTCAGTTTCTATCGGCCTCGTGTAAATAATAGGGCTATACGCACGCGAAACTATGCAGATACAAGCCGTTTTCTCCTCGTGTAAACGGCGCCTCAATCGTGTAGGTTGGGGAAGTTATACCTAATTTATATATCGCATGTACTGTATAGCAATGCGTTTTATCATTTACACCTAGTATATGTTTTGAAAAACCTAATCTGTAAAGCAGGTTGAGACAGACAGAAGTAAATAGAGGCCTTTAACTTTCTGTCACCTCATCCCCTGTGTGACCTCCAGCCAGGTTTAAGGACAGGGACAATGGGCAGGTCAGGTTAATGTGTCACCAACTTTTGCTTTCAGGCCCCATTGTGAAATCCTCATGTGAAAAAGTGCAGGCCACGTTAAGCTGTTATAGCAGAAAGGGTAGGGTTTACAGTCTAATCTTAGCGATTGACCCTCTGGTATAAAATGCTGCCGGTCGCAAAGAATCAGTGTGGACATGCTGCTTGATCACTGAGCCTCCAAACCATTTCTCCCAACAGTTTAGCATCATCTTCATCAGCCATGGGTGTTGCCTACAGCGTCGTAGAGTAAGTGAATCGAATCATCAAGATAGCGGTGAACATTGTTATGCCAGCTCCTGAATATAGTTGCGTAATCTGGAGTTCAATCAAACGGTACTTTGGTTCACTTGTTTCAACACATTCAAGCAAGAACATGTACAGTAAGCTTAGAACTGCAAAGACCTTTTAATCACAAGAAAGTTTGTAATCCAATCTTCTAATTGTAGTGATCAGTGTTCTTGGTGTTTTGGCAATTGCTACAAATGTGCAGAGAAAGCAGGAGTTAAATAAGTAATTCCAAGGTAGGAAGAGGTTTACTCTGAAATGAGTACTGTAACTGCTAATAGCAATGGGATGGATTTCAGCCTAATTTTGCTCTGAAGTTGCTCTCTTGTGGAGAAGGCAACAGAATTCAACCTCTATTTTCCAAAACAGGGGCTCCTCCTTCCTATTCCTGTAATCAGCTTTCGTCAGCCCAGCATGATTAATGCCGGAAAACATTCAAAGCATGCTTGACGTTCCTGCTATTCATGTCCAGGCATGACTCATAAGATAATAGAGGTTTAAGAGTGCCATTCTTAAACTTTTATTTCTCATGAGAAATAGAGAGGTTGGGCCAACTGTCATTATTGCTCAAAAGTTAAAGCAGCAACATACTGTATGATTGATCTGACCATACTGATCTGAATATGCTATAGATGTACTTACTGGATAGCAGATAAGATAATGTAATACAGTTATCTGTTTATTTATTTTCTGATACAGTAGGTAATTGTAACCTCCAATATTTCATGATAAAAGGCCTTTGCTTTTCAAGTTGAACACTAATGCTTTTAGCGAAAGCAGGCTGCATACTACACTCTAATCTGTTGAGGTACAATATAAAATTGTACTTTCTTCTTTTGCTTCTACAGGGTGGACCATTTATATGCTTTCTTTGTGCAGTTGTCCCCACAAATCTACACTAAGGGCAACAAGAGGCATCGCAAACCCTGCTTCCTGTTCAGAGAGAAACACCAGAAAGGCTTTCTTGTAGTGGAGAATGAGAAGGCTGCTGTGATCAACAAGCTCCTCAGTGACCCTGTGGACCCCACTGCTAACAACTGGGAGGTAAGATTTGCAAAAATGCACACATGCTGTTAATATGTCACAAAAGCCCTCTGTGGCTCTCTGACGGCAGACAATAAACTCCACAAGTTTATAACTTCCCGTGTAGTATCTCTGACTTACAGTAAGTGAGGCCCTAAAGTGCTTGGCCGTTATCCCAGAGGTTGTGCGCAAATCCACTTTCTCTATATATGGACATCCTATCTCTAGTACCCTCCTACAATCCCAGAACCCTGCTTAACTTTCCAGTTCCAAAGAAAAGAAACTGTTACATGTAAGAGACAACCAATGAGAGGCCCCACCACCACAGTGTCAAACCAATAGGGTTTCTGACACAAAGGGTGAAAGTAGACCGAAGGAAACATAAGTGATGAACACTGGCAGTTTTTTTAGAGCAGACATGTGGATTTGCAGAGCACAGAGATTGAAAGAGAAAGCAGAAACTATGAAGCTGCTGCCAGATAATATCAAGGTGCTTTATTTTGCCAGTGACTATGTGGAGCCGTATGTTGAGGTATGTAATCTTGTTAGATGTACTGGATTTATAATGTAAAATGTTTCTTTACTTTGGGTGGAAAATAAATGTTTGTAGTTCCTGATATTATTGCATAATTGATACTACATGTATTTTGTGAATGGTATTATTATGTTTTATATATCACGGTTATCGCCAATGTCTGTAAATAGATATTTTTCCATGCATCTTTACACAAGTTGTGATCCAGCTATCCAGTTATGAATGATTTTGTGATGAAGTTTGTTAAGGTGCCACTACCGGTGCAATAACATGTTGACCCTTCAGCTTTTCAAGTCTGTAATGAATCACTCACAAGTTTCTGTATGTGGTGTGAAGGAAGCTTTCATTTAGTTTCATTTTGTGTCCTCCTCCAGATTATCACAGTAAAGGACCCCAAGCGGCGCCTGAGTCTTTGCAGCTCAGGGTACTCGGAGGAGCCGGATTACCAGGAGGAAGTTGAAGTTGCTCTTCCTGTCCTGAGCGACGACAGCCAGCTGTTTGAAGACCACCACCTGGAGAAAGTACGTTATATCCGGCCTCATTTAGAAATGATCTAAGTACACAATTTAACAACGATTCCCGCCAATTACATAGGAGACCTTTTCATTAAAATCTAATTTTTCCTACAGCTTACTGCTCACATGCCAGTGAGGACCCAGGTCCATCCCTGGCAGCTGGTCTACAGCACGGCCATCCACGGGAGCAGTCTAAAAACTCTGTACAGGAATATGGCGGGTCTAGAAAGCCCTGTGCTGCTGGTCATCAAAGACACACACAAAAAGGTTTGCACCTTAATCTTTACTCGACAAGGCTGTTCTTCAAATAAATGTAGTCAAACTGATTAGTAAATATGTGAGTACTCCTTAATGACCCGATGTCTTGGTCCTTGCAGGTGTTTGGGGCTTTTTCTTCCGATCCATTTAAAGTCAGTAAATACTGCTACGGCACAGGAGAAACCTTCCTGTTCAGCTTCAATCCTGACTTCCAGGTAAGAGTGGACTTCCACTTAGGCCCCGGCTCCACGAGGATAAATACGGCAAAACGCATCGGAGTAACGCAAATGCAACCGCAAAAAACCTTCCGTCCCCACGCAATATACACCGGATTCCTCTTTTTCCTCTCTTCTGACAGCGTCAGTGTCTGTCTCATGCAGCAGCTGATCCTGTAATGAGTGACCCGACAGTAAAAATGAACATATTTATAACTAGTTTAGGTAGTTTGAGAGGTAATTAAAATAGCCAAGGGTGATGATCTGACTTGTGTGTGTTTTGCTCCCGCTGCATCACAGCGGCAGGAGCTGCGTGTCTCCGTCCTGTCAGATTAGACTTCACTCGCGTTTATGTCCATATCGAGATAAAGATAAATAATCTGAATTCAAGGAGGAGCTCCTGTAGATGTTGCACAAAGAACTGTAGCATGGTCAGTAGCGACTGGAGCATGATAGCAACCCTGCGGGGGAGAGGCGGGGAGAGGCGGGGCTATGAAAACGAATGACCGTATAGGCGACTCCACGGCCCCGTTGGACCCCCCAGAGCGCTCCGTTCCCAGATCTATCCACCTTTGGACCCGTTGTCGTTTGCGGGGTCTGTTTCTACGTTTCCCTTACGGCGTCGTCGAGCTTAGAGGGCTATACGCATGAGAAATATGCGGATTCAACCCGTTTTCGTCCTCGTGGAGCCGGGGCCTTAGTGTGGTTAAAGAATCTTATCTATCAGCAAGCCTGATTATTGGTGTATTATTATTACCAGTAAAGTTTGCAACCATGTAAGGTAATTCTCTATAATAGGTGCTTAACAAATTCTCAGGAAATATTATCTGTCAGAAAAAAACATTTTTGAGGAGCAAGAATTACATTTTACTTTTGAAACATTTTAACAAGATTGAATGTAAGTGTAATGTATTTTCATTTTGTTCAGGCATACAAATGGAGCGGTGAGAATTCCTACTTTGTGGGCGGCAACTTGGAATCTCTGCAGATTGGCGGAGGAGGGTAAGTAATGCGGTTATTGACCATAATATATATAATAGTAACTTTAAGTGCTACCTATCGGATATCTGAGACTGTAGCATCTAAGAGCATAAAACATGATCTGCTTTAAAAGGTTTTGAAATTAAAGTTGTATTATTTCCTCTTCTGTAGGGGTGGATTTGGCCTGTGGCTGGATTCAGATTTGTACCACGGCTCAAGCTTCTCCTGTCCCACCTTCAACAACGAGTCTCTCTCCACCAAGGAAGACTTTATCGTACAAGACCTCGAAGTCTGGACTGTGCAGAGATGATGGTAGAACATCTTAGAAGATGAGCTTAAAACAAAAGCAGAAGCCACTGTCCTGTTTGGAGTTAGAACATGCCAAGACTTCAAGGAGCATGTGTGGTTTAAGCCACTGCTGTAAAAAACCTGCTAGAGTAGCTGCTATCATCGGTGTAGCCGGCTCAGATCAGCCCACATACAGTAGAAGCCTGTTCTAGCGCTTCTCGGGCTGTCTGTTTCCGCTGGCTCGACCTGTGCCTGTTAAAGACAAGAGGCAATCCTGCAATCCAGGGTGCTGCTGTCTTAAACTGCAGGCTATTCTGGCTGCTGCTTAGACCAGTCAGCAACTGGCGCTACATGCCATCCTTTTGCTTTGGGAGCATTATAATACAAAGTTCACAGTAACACTGTTGAACAAAAAGTGTCTAACTACTGCAAGCACATTCAGAATTTTAGGGAAAACTATTCCAATTTTCTTTCAGCCATGTGTGTTTGAGACATTTCAAAAAGCATGTTTAAAGTATTTATCTGCGTGAAAGTTGGTGTAAGAATAAGTGTACACATATTTTATTATTATGACAAACAAACTTGAAGACAGAAAGAGACAAAAAACTAAACTAAAGGGCACATTTTTCACATTCTGGTAAAACACTTCAACAGATGCACTCTGGAATATGTTTGTAATAGTTTTTTTCTATCTTAAAAGGTCTTGTTTTAATGTTGTCATTTTTGAAAACTATACTGCTGCAGATCGAACCACTCAGGTTAAGAAAAGTTAATGATAGAGCTGCCCGACAAACTTCTTTACTTTCTGTGAGGTGTGTGGTTAGTAAAGGAAGAGACCTCAACTGTTAACTGTCACTTCCGTTTTTGGAAAGTCTCACCTGTCTGCCTATTTGCATAAATAGACAATATTACGTTTTTTACATGCTTTTATATGAATGTTATTTAAGTCAAATCTAAAAAGGAAGCTACATTTTTGGGCTGTTTGTTTGTTTGTTTTTAAATTGTTTGTATGTAAACCAGAAGGTGCTGGTACTGCATGTGTCATTTTGTGGAACCACATAACAATGTTGGCTATCCTTGCAACAAACAATGTTTTCATAGCTTTCATAGTTCATTATAAATAAATCTTTAAAACAACATCATTTTTTCCACTGAGTAGCCTACGCTGTTTTTAATGCAAAAAAAAACAAAAAAACAGGATTAGACTATACTGTATTTGAATTGTCATAGTTTTGTGACTCTCATCACAAACTGATGCTGCGATAAAGAGAACAACCACAGAGGCCTTTTCCTGATAAATAATCACACAAAACCTAAAAAGGGGATGTGGTAGACTGTAGATGTAGAAATAAATGGAACAATTGTGTGTACTTGCAAACAAAATGTTTGCTGTAAATGTTCAGGCAGCTGAAAGCCTACTCACCCATCAAAGCTGCAATGCCACAAGCTTACAGGACACCCTGCATGGAAATGATCCCGTTCAATGACCTGCACACAAACAGAACAACCTAAATTAAGATATTAATACAGTACAATTCAGAAGAAAAGAGGTGGTTCTCTGCCTTAAATGTCACTGTTCATTGGGGCCTTGGTAGCCCTGGAAGCTTCACACACTGCTCACTAAGAAAACACATGCAAATAAACACAACACAAGCCAATTTAACAACAATTGCACAGCATTTAAAACAAAAACCGTACCTTAAAAATAAAACATAACAACTGTTGGCCAGCAATGTGCCATACCTGGGACAACGGGAGCTGTCCCTGAGGGGAAAAGCGTGTATTTGTTCAGATAATTAGCAAAAGGCTAATGCTAGGTCAAACAAAAGGACCATCATTCCAAAAAAGGGGGAGCGAAAAGTTAGAAAGAACTGTAAAATAAGTCACCATACGTTATATATTGAACCACGTCGCTCTCTGGTGGCAGCATTCGTCCCTTACAATTGCAATCTGTATCGACACTCTTTTAGTTTCCCCTTGTGAGCTCGATGAGCTCTGGGATAGACTGTGCAGGACTTTCTGTTGACAGTTCACAACAATGGCAGAAATCGAAGCAGCACAACCGGCTCAGGTTGATGTTTCCAAAAGTAGCAACGGCCCAGCTGAAGGATATGAGAAGAAATGTATTTTCTGCAAGATTGTAAACAAAGAAATGGGAACGGAGCTTCTTCACTGTGTGAGAATATGGCAATGATTAAATAATGTTGAGTGTCAAGCTCGCTAGCTTTAGCCTGCTGCCTTTGCAAAACACTTGTGTTAATAAGCAGCCTGTGACAAATAGTGACTTTGTGAATATATAGCTAGAGTTGAAGTGTGATTTTCTCTGAGACCATCTTAGGTTACTGAGCAATTATTTTATATAATTAATGCTATTGATTATAGTTGTCTGCTTGTGTTTCCCCTACGGTTATTGTTAACGTATGTATTAATTGTGTCTACTCACAGTGGAGCTTTTTTAAAACCACAGCTGTAGGAGAGATAAAGCTTAAACGAGAGCCTGTAATTAGGTTATCACATTTACCCGGGTAACTGACATGTAGTCAAAAACTAAGGTTGGTTCTTCAGTAAACACTTTAGTTTCACCCTACTACGCTCCTTCTATTCCTGAAGCTGATCCATTCATCTGTATTTGATGACTTGATTCTTTCTCTCTGCTGCAGGATGAGGAGATCTCATGTTTCAGAGACATCAAACCTGGAGCTCCTCACCATTATCTGATCGTACCAACCAAACATGTAGGAAACTGTAAATCACTCAGCAATGAAAACGTGCCTTTGGGTAAGGTTTAGCTACACTACTACTGCTACTATTGCTTATGCCTGTGTAAGGGTTGCTCTTGGAACTATTTACAGACTGCTGCACTTTATAGCTAACTAATAATGTGAAGTGGAACTTTTAACTTGTGTTTGCCACTAAATTAAATATGTTGCCGTGCTGTATTTTTAATGGGAAAGTGTATTATGTTCAAAAAGTAACACAAGCTTTGGTTGTCATACCCAGTGAAGCGCATGGTCGAGACAGGGAAGGAGATCCTCCAGAAAAACAACATAACAGACCTCAATGATGTCAGGTAAGCTAGACTCAGTGGTACTTAGTTGCTACAATGGGACTATGGGAAAACATTCCTTAAATGTCAGTGATGTAGCTTTTGTCACTTGATCAGCAGGTCATGGTCCAGGTCAGTATGTCTGTTATCAAATAGTGACTGACGCATTATTTAAAGGAGAGGTGTCGTGCTTTTCCGGTTATTACCCGTCCCCTTGTGTGTTATGAAGGTTTTTATGCATGTAAAACGGTGTGCAGAGTCAAAACCCTCAAAGTACACCCTATAGCGAGTAAAACTCTAACACAGAAAATACCTCCCCAAAACGCCTCGTTGGAGATACGTCATTGTCCATTTGATTCTTCCGGGTACGGCATGATGTCAACCCGTACCGCGAACGAAATGGACCAATCCGTGGAGCCGTTACGTTACGTCCGCGGAGCCGTTACGTTAAGCCCCCGCTGATTGGTCCAAATTGACCAATCCACGGACTTCCTCACACACACATCTGTGTGCAGGGAGCAGGCAGCTCAGCTGATTTCTCCTCCCTGGCTGCAGGCTGATAACAGACAGTTGGGATCGCGGCGAAATTCTCTCTGCAGACCCATTCTCACAGCGTTTATCAAACTTTTTCTTACTCAATATCAAGCCACACTTATTGTTTTTACTTCGGCTGTGAGTTTGTGTGTGCTCAGGATGAGTTTGGCTGTGTTTCGCTGTGTATCCTAAACAAGGAAACAACACCTCCACGGAGCTCAGCGCGATTCACAACGTCCCGACCAATCAGAGCACACTGTGCTCACAGGGAGGGTGGGGGCTGGAGCTTTTGGAGCTACAACGAGCCGTTAAAGGCAGAGAGTGAAATTCAGTGAATAAAAGTAGTTTACAGAGATGCTGTATGAGAAACCAATGTGAGTTTGGAAAAATGCACAGTATAAATCTATTTTAGTATACCTCAACAATGGAATTATGATCAGTGGAAATGGCCATGACACCTCCCCTTTAAGGTTTATTTTCCCTTTACAACCAACCACCACAATAATCATCACTGTGACTGTCAAATGAACAAGCAAACAATCAACAGTGATACAGCTCAAAGATAACAAACATTATACTATCAGTACACCCTAACAGTATCCCAATGGAAATGGATAATCTTCTAAAATAAATAGATAACATATCTTAAAGGGGCACTTAAACTGTGTAAACTTTTAAAACTTGTCATATCTTAAGCTAGTGAGCATGTGTGCAATACAGCTCTTTCCTTTGTCTGCAGGTTTGGTTTCCACTGGCCCCCCTTCTGTTCTGTCACACACCTACACCTTCATGTCCTGGCGCCTGCCAGTCAGATGGGCTTCATGTCCCGCCTCTTCTACAGACTCAACTCCTATTGGTTCATCACAGTAAGTTCCACCTTCAAAAACCTGAATCTGCAAATATTGGAATCAGCAGTTCAGACTTTTATTAAATCAGACATTTTAATATTTTGCAGGCGGACCAGCTGATTGAGCTTCTCAACTCTAAAGGAGACACAAACTGATCACACACCTTCAATACTTACAGTTCTTGACTTTGAACTTCTGCCTTCTTGAAGATGCCATGTTTGATGATAGACACTAACATTTATTAGCTGCTGGCTTGTAATGACAGTATTTTTAAACTGGTGACATATTAGTAATGGAAGCCAAATCGTGTTTCTTGAGATGTGTTAGATATGACACACATTTTTTTTTCAAATGTTTTTACAGAAGAAGATCATTCAACCTTTCTTATTATCGGACGTAATAAAAATGCATTTATTGTATGGACCAAGGAGCAAACGGTGATATTCACCTGTTTCAACTATTAACACCAAAGGAAGCATTCTTTTTTTTTTACTGAATGTGTGTTAAGTACAAGAATATAAAGCCCATATGAATAACAAGCTTTTTTGATACCTTGATATGCTTAATGATTTGGAAATCAGATGTGATGCATGTATAACTGAGAAAAAGTATAAGTAAGGAAAATTAATTAGTGTTATTCATATATTGATATAACATTTTGGACAGCTGTGAGTTCCTCAGCTATGTTAATGTATTTATTTAATGATATACAGAGTAACATCTTCATTAACTATGTACTGTAGGGCTCCTTTACAGCAAAAGCAGCTAAGTATTAATGAGCTTAACAAAAAAACGAGGCGTTTGTTTAAAAATGACATGATTTGAACTAACCTGTTGGTGAATGAAGTGAATATTTATGCTATGACGAAACTGCTGTATACTAGGGAATGTAAAGAATAAACATCATACTGTATATACTGTATGAAATTGTATGCACTTTAAGAATTAATTTAACTAAGAATAAATAATAAATTGCCAGCTCTCAGTGTGTTCCTAATGCAGTGAGTCCTTGGTATCCGTTTAATCCTCTCTTCAGTCATTAGTTTAACTACAGCAGCCAGTGCTTACAGTTCACAAAGCACCCACAGTAACAGCATAACAGACAGGGCACTACTCAGTTTATTTCTTTATTATAATACCGAAAGCAGTTATTGCAAATTTAACAATCTACTACTGCCTTATCCTAAGAAATAACTTTTACAAGCAGCATTTAATATGGCATTTATCAGTCAATGCATAGCTTATAGTGTATTTCATTTTAGCAGCATTTGTAGTTTATTGTACATCTATCTCAGTGTGGTGCAGGTGTACGAAGTTTCAAACTGTAAAGGGTTAAATTACAAAGCACACTTGTAATAAATTCATGCTCTCAAGCACGCTGGGATCAAGTTCATCCTATAGCACCATATTGTCTGTCACAGGCAGCCTCATGTTCTCTTTGGCTTTAGTTCAGGCTCATCAACCACATTAGAAACCTAGCAAAGGGAATATAGTGAAAGGTATTTGTTTGGCAAAGATTTGATAAAGCAACACAGAGAAATGTAGTAAGTGAAATAGTGTAAACATGAAAATCGTAAACATTTTGAAGCCACTCTAGAATACATATTAGGTTGATTTGGTAACAATATCTTAGCTGTTTCATCGTCACTCTGTTTCTCTTTATTTGTGTTTTTTATATTTGTATTTTATAATTTTGAATAACTCTTGTTCCAGAGAATTTCATGTTTTCTTTTTCTGCACTTTTTACATTGTTAGAAGATTGTTTGTAGCACGAGGAGAAAATATGTCTCATATACTAATGTAGGTGTTTTCCTTGTGTGAGAAACTAAAATCAAACATTTCTGTCTTAATAGGAGCATCATTACATAACTTAAATACAAATATTGCAATCTTTCTGATATCTGAATACCACAGTGAGTGCTGCCATGAAGTAGCTCTATACTTGCCACTCAATATACTGCATGAAAGTCGAATGAAGGCATAAATGTTCTGATCACGGCAACAGAGTGATAACTGCATGGTCATCCTTCCCCTGCCAAAGCATCTCCCCCTCAAAGTCAACCAGCCTCTGCTTCCTCGCTCGTAGAAGAACCCCCACCAGTTTATTAGAGATGGTCACATAATGCTCGAACAGTTTCCTAAATTCTACGGTCACCACCTTTCCATCGCCTCCTCCATCCCCATCTTTGTCTCCTGGCTCCCCAATGTTCCTGATCACCTCACACAGTTCCTCAACTTCTCTGCTTATATGTGTGTGAGCATCCTTCCCCCTCTGCTCTGTCATGGAGCCCTGCAGGGGTTTCCCGTAGTCGTCCTGGCCTCTCTGAGGGGCCATCACACTGGGCCTGATGCCGTGACTGAAGGGGTTGAGCTTCTGATACTCCCGGTGCTCATCGGACCACTTCTGCCAGTTCTCTTTCAAGCCTTTCACAGAAACAATGCACATTGCAGCTTCATCGCAAAACTGATTGGAATTGGGGACGTCATCTTCAGTTTCTATGATGGTGGTGCTCTGGCTGCTCGTCCCCATCACTGTCTCTAATGAAGAGAATATTACAAAGCTTTAACTGGTATGGTATACACACATTACTGCAATGTTATCACTCAATGCATATTAGCCAATTGCTGTTTTCATTCAATTGTTATTTAAAAATCAACTTCCTTAAATTATTTACCTAATTATTGACGTTGTCCTGTTTGCTGGGATTCAGCTGTAGAGATCTGCATATCAATTTATGGTAAGTATTGACAGATTTAACCCACAACAACAACAACAACAACAACAACAACAACAACAACGATACAATTCATTTAAACTAAAGAAAATTAAGATCAAGAATTATACAACCTGCTTTACATAACCTATGTCTTCACAACCCATCAGAGGTTTGGAGTAAACAATTATAAAACATAATTCAACTCAAATGTCACTCACTGCCTCGATCCTCACTTCATCTGCAATGAGGTTTTATTGTATCCAAAGTGCAAACAACACACATGTATTAATACTGCAGTACTCACCGCTGACAGAAGCAAGAATGCCGATACTTTTCTCTCTTGAGGCAAAAACCGCTCTGATGAACATCTGTCTCAACCAATGGCGTGTTTGAGAAGCTCCGAACAGCCAATCACTGGCCAGATAGGGCGGCAACGACAATGTGTCAAGTAAAGCAGATTACATCCTGAGGGGAGTTTATCCTAGGAAGGAATAGATGATAAAGCGCATACGACTGAGTGAATGTCGACAAACAAATGATTATAGGCGCGACGGTTACTCTTTTGGTAAATCACGCCAACCAACCAACTTTTTTACAGTAACATTTTCGACCAGTCTACTCAATTTCATTAAACAGCTCAAATGTACAGCAGCAATAGTAAAACGATTGGTTTAACCGCCTGTAGACAGTATACTATACGCACATAAAACACACACATTCCACAATATAATGTCATACAACGTAGTTACACTGAAATAAATTAACATGCCTTTCCATTTATGGTAATTTGGTCCCCAATCGGTACTATTCTTTCGCAGCCCTGGTTTCAAGCCGGACGTATTTTGAATCCGCAACAAATATGGCGACCTCCACCCGTCAATCATGCCTCAAGTATTTGTTACATCTTGCCCAAGATAATCTGGACTTCAGGTTGCCGGTAATTTATATAATTACTCTCAGTTTCTGTCTGACTATTACGAATGTTTATAGTTCTTTGTTTGTAAAATCGGTCAGAGAAGAGTCCCTCCTCACGTGGTTTGCTGCGTTAGCTACATGCTAACCATATATCACTGTATATAGATGATAACTGTCAAATCAGTGTGATAACGTTTAAGCTTTGATGTCACGCAAGAATAACACACTTACACTCTGTTTTTCCAGCTGGAACTACATATGTGCGCCTGTGTTATTTGGTTAATTCTACAGGAATCCCCACTGATATTACTCATGAAGTAATATAATTACTCATGAAGATTATATTGAATTGATTGTGATTTGTGATCTTGCAGGAGATTAAGTCCTTGCTGGCTCTCAGAGGAAAACCGTTCCATTCTAGTGGAAACTTCCAAGAAAAGGTTTGCAGATCAAAAGCACCTATTACAAATCTTTATTTTCCAAAACCCAACTGATACATTTATTGGCTTTGATGATTTATGATGAAGGTTTCTTCTTGTCTCTTCTCTCAAGACTCCTTTCTGGTGTCTGGATGGGTTGTCCGAGGAGGATGTCCGCGGCGTCATGGCCAGATCTGTTTGTGCAAAGTACGTTTTAGTTGTTAAGTTAGTTTATTTTTGCTTTATGGTCTTGCACCCGTAGTAATGCAACAGCCTAAACATGCAGCATATAATGGCATCCATCTGAACATGTGCCACAGTAGTCAAGATTTAGCTGTAATTCGTGCATTATCCTTGCTTTCAGGTCTGCCTTTGAACTTTGGGGCCACGGAAAAACGCACATTGAGCTCAAAACATCCCTCATGAAGTACCCAACAGAGAACATGGTTTGTGATGCTATGGTATTGGACAGACCCTGCTGTTGATATAAAAACAAACATGTTGTAAGCTAATATGTTTATTTTCTATCTGTGCTCTTCTCCTTATAGTCACCATTCATGCGCAAAGACTCAACTTACAGAATCAATGTGTACACTTTCAACAAGACTCTGGAGTTTGAGCACAGAATCAAAAGGATTGATGTGAGTATTTAGATGTCCTAGTATCTTTGATTGCCTTCATGTATTTATATGTGTGTGCAGGATGTCATGTTTTGTATTTTTCCGCCAGTCCATGGACTATCTTCCGTTTGAAGGGACAGTGAACCTGAAGAGCCCTCAGCACATCTTCTGTTTGTTGGAAGATTACGGCACAGACCCCAACGACATCCCCGAGCATCCTAACTACATCTATTTTGGTCGATGGGTGAGATACATTTGACATTTGTTTGCATTCAACTGATAAGAGGTGATCTGCAACTAACCACTGTTCATCTTTACACCCTGCTGCGACAGATAGCGGATGGACAGCGGGAATTGATTCGCTCCCACAGCGTGAAGAACAGACACTTCATAGGAAACACCAGTATGGATGCTGGACTATCATTCATCATGGCCAACCACGCCAAGGTCAATAAGAATGACCTTGTCTTTGACCCGTTTGTTGGCACAGGTGAGATGATCCTGTCAATGACTCTCACTCAAATAAATAGATATATAAATAATCACTTATTAAGAGAAATCTTTGCAAATTAATATTTCTTTTGTCTTTCTTTTGTTTCAGGGAGCCTGTTGGTAGCATGTTCTCATTTTAGAGCCTACGTCTGTGGAACGGATATAGATTACAACACTATTCATGGTAGAGGTAAATCTACTCCGAGCTTATTTTCTTTTCTGGCTTTATCTTAGGTTATGTTTTAATTCAAGCTTGCAGATAAAACCTGTGCAATTATTCACGCAATAGTTGGGTTTCATCATTCATATCTTTATAAGACTAATATACCACTGTATCTATTGTTATACACATTTTTACATTTTTATTGTTGTAGTACAATGTGCACCATTTTACTTAGCTTCCTTTACCTTCTTTTTCCACATTTAAATTTAACTTGTTATGTTTGTATAAAATACAAATATTATTATTCTGTTTTATTTATAGATTACATATTTAAATAAAGTGTTCTCATTCTGAGATATTGTATCAGGTCATTTCTCCGTTCACAACCAACAGTGGCCGGAACCTGCTCTGAATTTCTGATGCTATCCAACATTTCTCAAAGTGCCTTCCTCTTTCAGGTCGGTCAAGCCGTAAAAACAAGACGTGGCGAGGACCTGACGAGAACATCAGAGCCAACCTGCGGCAGTATGGAACAGAGGACATGTATGTAGACGTCATGGTGTCTGATGCGTCCAAGCATGTGTGGAGGGAGGCGGCTCTGTTTGATGCCATCATCACTGATCGTAGGTCTTTAGTATTAAAAACTTGTGATAAATCAATAGCTTTTTTTTCACTGAAGCAGAGTTGCAGCAAGCATGTACTCTAGCTACACAAGTGCAAAATATTAAATTGGGTATCATAATGGGATAAACTATTTTTTTCTGACCTCAGCTCCGTATGGTATCCGTGAGTCCACAAGGAGAACGGGCTCTCACAAAGACGTGACCAAACCCCAAGATGCCATGTAAGTTCACTTGATGCTCAAAACATACCAACATTTGTTCCTCTGCATTAAGTATCACTTATTTACTCTAGTTAGACTTTGTTGTAATCTAGAGCAGGGGTAGCCTTGACAGGTTTTATTGTTTGTTCTGAGTAAAATTACCTAATTAGGTGGACTTCAAAATAGGAAACACTTTGAAATGTTTTGTATCTTTTGTTGATGTTGTGTTTTTTTTTGCCCTGGTCCAAACTTGTTTGTGTTTCTTTGATTCTTCTGCCCAGCTATGAAGAGTCTCACGTCTCTGTTACTCAGGCGTACCACCTGAGTGACATCTTCACAGATCTGTTGAACTTCTCCGCCCACCACCTGGTTTTGGGCGGGAGGCTGGTCTATTGGCTACCTGTCTACAGACCAGAGTGAGTACGCAGACTTAAAATACCTTATTTAGCTTTATTGGGTTTCCCTTTCCTGTAGTGTGTTTTTGTGCATGTAAATGGTCTGCAAAGGCTAAAATCCCAAAGTTCACGCCAGAGGATGTTTCTCTCCCACACACCCCATCCCTCCCGCCTGAAACGCCTTGATTGGACTCCTTTGATTTCGGCGACATAGTGGCTGCATCTCACTTCTCTTAACTTCAATCCTTGCGTCCCTCACTTGCGTCTTTTCCTTGGGAAAACCACGAGAAGGGAGAAGAAGCAGGGAAATTAGTTTTAAGAGCAATGGGACGTCCTTTCCTCCGGAGCGTCACGTGAAGCGACATCCGTTTGTGATGACGCCGCACAGCTGATCGTCTGACAGCAGCCAGCTCTGTCCCCGTTTTTTTCAAACACCCCCGCCTCTGTTAGTACACATTTACTGACATAAACATTTGTATCATCTGTTGTAGACCCAAATTTGCAGGTCTCCCTTGAAAAAGAGATCTATGATCTCAAGGATCTCAACTAATTCTCAAAAAAGATAAACGCCATTCTTAAAATGTATAAACGAACAATAGTTTGATTAATATTGATTTGAGTGCACAAAAGAATGACAATTATTGAGAGAAGAAAAAGAGATATGTTATCTATCAAAACCAGTTGGATTAACATTCATTGGATTGTCCACTTTGTTGTTCAGATATATCACATATTTGTAACTAAATGATACATTAATTGAAACAAAACACAGTATAAACTGAGGAGTGAGTCCTGTGAGTTTCATGTGTTTTCTTCACTCCGCTGTTAAACTGCTCTCAAGTCAAGAAGCAACAGATCAGTGCATGCGCTGCATCGTCCAATCAGTGAGCGATACACAGTAAGGGGGCGGGGCGAGTGGCTGAGGATTTCACCGGAGGATGGTCTGGTGGTTCCTCGATTATTGCTCCTCCGTTATCGCTCCTCGATCCTCCGGCACAAATAAGGGCAATGGGACGCTACTCAAGATGGCGCAGAAAAATCAACTTCCGGTGGGACAGAGGAGTGAGGAAATGAAAAATAAGAGAAGTGAGATGCAGCCAGTGACATCACTAAGTAGCACTTGCACTTCTATTGGCTAGCTCTCCAACACATCGTATGTTATAGAGCAGCGGTTTTCCCCTGGGGGGCGCCAGAGAGCTTCAGGGGAGGCGCAGCGTGAGAAAAAAAAGAAGAGAAAAGGATGAATAAAGTGACACTTGCACACTTTTGGCTGTCTGTGGAGACCGAGTTCCCCCACCTCGCCAAAAAGGCTGTAAAAGTGCTCATTCCCTTCACCTCCACCTAAAGCAAAAGCAAGTGCCGGTCGAGGCTGCAGCCAGAGGATGGTCTGCGTTTATTCCTGTGCGCATCAAAGACGCAGACTCATTGTTCCCACTAAAGTAGGGGTGAGTGTAATAAGGAGGCAAAGTTGACGTTCAGTGTGTTGCCGGGAGCATATAAGGATGTATCCACGATGTTGAAAATGTAAAAAATGTTAAAAATGTTAAAAAAAATATGTGTTGAGAACACGGCGTGCGAAAATATACGGGTCGTGCTGCAGCTAGATTTGCCTGTCCTCTGTAAGAAGGTGTCGGCGACTGACATGCAAGGAAGAACGGCTGTCCACAGGCTGTTCCAACTTTATTAACTTCCAGGGTAGTGAATTGAACATGCTATTGTAATTGGGTGTGTGGTATATTTTCATGCACGCACACGCATGTTCCACAATACACAAACTGAACAACACTCAATTGTCTGATCGCTACCAGTGTCCTTGCGATCTTGTTCTAACAAGTGCACGTTACTGATGCAATATGGTTGAGACCATTCGGGCTTATTCTAGAGGGGTGCAAGGAATAGTCCAAGTAGTGGGGGAGTTTTATACAATATGTTTAAAACATAAAGATAAAAAGGTTTAAAAAAGTTATTGTTTAATTAAGGAGGTGACGCTACTCAGCCAATCAAATCGGTGCAGTCAGTGAGTCAGCACGATAGATTCAAACACACACAAAGAGACGAGACAAGTGGAGAGAAACAGTCGGAGTAATTTCAAATGGTGGAAGGTAGACAGCGAAAACAGAGTGACATTTTCTCTTACTGGACCTCTTTGAAATGCAATTGAATACCCCTGCATTATAGCAACAACAACAATAATAATAATAATAATAATAATAGCAATAATAATTGGGAGGGGGGGCGCGGCTGTTATGTTCTCTGAGGGGAGGCTCACCTTCCCACACTTTGAAAACCCCTGTTATAGAGTAAGGGGCGGGACATCTCTAAGTGGTTGATCAATCACAACAGAGCCGGCCAGCTAACCAATCAGAGCAGACTGGGCTCTGATTTCAGACAGAGGTTGAAACGAGGTGCTGCAGCACAGGCAGTATGAGAAAAATAAAGACCTTTTGAATATTAAAGCATGTAGAGGCACAACATACAAATATGATCGTGAAAATACGCATAATAAGGCCCTTTTTATTGTTTGCTGTCATTGGCTATCACAGTGCCATCCAGCACTTTTTAAAGCGTACTCATTTCTGTTAGTAAAGTCAAACTGGGTCTTTGACGAATGTATTGTTGATTGTTCAAATCAATGCTTTAGTGCATGTAGCTGTATATTTCATTACTAAATTGGACGTTTATTGTGTCCTTATTGGTTTATATTGAGAACTCCTCCTGCTGGTGCCTCTCTCAAAATATTAATTTGCATCAATAGGGGGCAGGCATAAACCAGAACTGCACGAAACAGGCTTCTAGAAAGGGCAACATACAACATTGAAAATCTTTTTTTTGGCCGGATTAATTCCCACAATTTTGAACAAAGACTTATTATAATGTAAACATGGTTAGTTGAAAGACGATTAATTTATAGGGTAGTGTAAATTAAACATATACAGTAACGGATGTCTATGTATGAATTAGTTGAATAATGAGAAACTAGTTAATGAGCTGCTTAGTGCTTTTAAAGACCTGGCGCTGTGTAGATGTTTCAGTTTCAGTCCAGCAGACTGGCACACAAGGACTTTTCCACCCCACTTATCCACTTTCTACCCTCCAGCATTTCCCCTCTAGCTGTAGAAATATTCCATTCCCGCTTCTATAAAACCTCGTCCACCTGTGTGAATGACGGTGTTTATACAGAGAAGTATACAGGTGTGTTGAGGTTTCCCCGCTCGTACAGCTGCTTCCCAGTAAACCACAACTGTCGGCTCCTTTGTATGTGGGCTCCATGAGACGGCTCTTCTGAAACAAAGTTGTGCATTGTTAAATGTTCTGTGCACTATAGCACAAAGTGAAGTGCTGACTCGGAGTACAGGTGTTTGACTGTAAAGGTGTAAACCACAACACACAGCGGATGTTTGGGGAAGGAAAAATAATCCCTGCTGGGCTTGAGTTATTTCTGGTCGCTGATTATAAGACCAGGAGGAGATGAGATAACCATTCATACTCTAGTTTTATAGTATGTGAGAGGAAAAGCAAGCAGACTGTATCTACTCACACCTTGCAGATATTTTTCCCTTTGTCTCTGTAAGTGAGCATCGGAACACATGTGTGTGTGTGGTGTTGCGTATGAGCCCATGCATACATTTGTGTCATCATGTTCACACATTTGTCTTTGCTACTCATCTACCAGTGCCTGTCAGAGCGCCGTGCCAAAATAAACGTCTGAGGTCAGGCAAGTCAGATATGTGAACTATCTGTCTCTGCAGTCTGGCCTGTGTGTGTGTGTGTTTCTGTGCACAATCACATGTGTGTGTTCTCGTATAGTTGTGTGTGAGTGAGTGTGTAAGCCCAGACGTAGCCTGTCTCCTGGGCCTAATCTGGGGCTCTACGGGGGAGATATCGTGTTTCTGTCACCCCCACATTTGTGTGTATCTGCGTCCATCGCTGTGGTAGAAACAGTGGGGTTTGTGTGTGTCTGTCTGATTCAAGAGAATGGGGAGGTTTGTGTGTGTGCGTGATGACAGGTGACACAAAGTCCTGTCAGCAAACGACGTCGTCTAGACCAGGCCAGGCCCCTTAAACTCTCTTCCCTTTCTCCCTTTTTTAAAAAATAAATGAAAGAGGAAAAAGTATCAAGACAGATGATGTTAAATCAGTCATCGCAGCCATAAAATGACCTAATTACAACATAAACAAGTGAAGAGAAGAAATGAAGTGCTTGTATTGTCAGGAGTAAGGGGATATGTGTGAATGAGTCTAAATGAGCCATGTTTTTTATTTTTAGGTCATCATTTTTCACCTTAGTATAAATGTCTGGACGTTTTTGAATTGTTTTTGAATTCATCTAATGATACTGGACATAGAGGCTGCATGCCACTGCTTTTTTATCAGAATATGCATGTGTTAAAATTGAGAGCATAAATGTGCTTGATTTTGAAATACTATGGGACAAATGATATCAATTTAACATTAATTTGATAAATGTTAAACAATCTGTGTTGTGTAAATACAGTATACATCCTATAACTATTTAAATGTGTCCTGTGGGATAATAGCCTCTAAATTATTGGACAAAGCATAGGCAGTTGCAAGGCCAAAAAGTTAAATACGGTTTGATTAAGTGTGACAAATAAAGCTGTGAGCTGAGTTCTGGACAATAACGGTAATGCTGGAATTCACAGTAGTTGCGACCACAGCTGTGCATGCATCTGCACCTTGTCTTTTTTTCGCTGTTCATGTTTACCAGTGGCGAACCGTGTCTATCACAGCTGGACCTTCTGTAGACACACCCAACCGGATTCGAAAATGCGGGTGTTCTAGTCAGACGGACGTCACGGAGGCAGTCACTTTGTGTTGGACGGCCTTTTTTTTATAATGTCCATCTTTTCACTGAATGATCGTCTTGAAAAGGGTACTAACAACAATTCTTCCCAGAGACCCAGAACAATATCTGATTGGTTGCTTTTTTTTCTAACACAAAACCACTGAAATGCGTAGTGCATGGACTGAGAAGGACAAACAAATCAACGTAACACTGTAATATTACAGATCAACAACACAGATACGATTCTCATTTATTCCTTTTATTTACATTTTATTTATATAATTAGTTTGATGATTTATCTGAGTGTTCCATGGTATTCTCTGAATACGTTGAAGGCCCTGACGGTTCACCACTGTTGTTTACAGTCAGATTAGCAACTTGAACCTCTAGAATGTAGAGGTTCAATAATGTATGTCTATGCCTGGATTCTTTCACAAGTAGCCAGGTATCAAGCTAATGTTCAGCTTATAAGTAACATAATTGGTACCTAGTGTGTTCTGCCTCTTTCGCTTCCTGTTCAAGTCTGCTCAAGACTGATTGGTCAGTATTGTTCCGACAACAAACGGAAATAAAAATTCCTACCATGCTAAATGTGAGCCTCCAAGGGTACAAACTGTCTGCAAAAAGGTGGGGAATATTTGGCGACCAACACGCAGCTCCAAAGGAAGATCTGAAGGTGAAAGACAACCTGGCCTCGGCTATATGTTAACACTAGCTCAACATGTCGGGCTCTTCACTAATGACTCCTGATTGACAGGGGAGAATTATCACCTGACTGCATTGCCGGTGGTCACCCTGGCGACCAAACATCCCGTCGCCGCAGAGGCCCACATGTGGCCATGGCAACAGGGCAGACAAACAGTGACTGGCAAATCTGGCCGTGAGTTGCTCTGCTGCTACTGTGATGGCGGCTAGGAGAAAGTGCTACTGACACAAATATGCAAACACATACATCATCCGCTGTTAATAGGCCCTAACCTGGCCTAGCTAGTGATGACAGAGCCAGCAGTCAACCTGTCAGCCCAGAGTCACTTTTTCCACCTTCATCTTCGCAATAAATGAGCGATTTGATTGTTGGGAGAGAAACGGAATTAGACACGGAGGGGGAAAGGAGAGCCCTTGGAATGGGTGGCAAAGACAGTTGGCAAAGTTAGGTAGTAATTTTGACAGGATTAGTCTGTCTGTATCCAAGCAGCCTCCAGACAGAAAGGAAGTTCATTGTTTTCACATTAAACATTCCTCTCATTTAGCTTTTAGGTGTTATTGAAATAGATTTTTTTTTCTGGTCCTTTGTTTTTGGACACTTGTGTTTAACTGTGAGTGTGTATGTTTTCCCCTGTCCAGGTACTGTGTTGAGATGGTGCCTCTGAACCCATGTCTCCGGATCATCAGCAACTGTGAGCAGACGCTCTCCAGCCATACATCACGCCGCCTGATCACCATGGAGAAGATCAAGAACCCTGAGGTGTGTACCTTTTGCGTTTGAGCTGAAACAGTTGATCAATGAGTTGGCAACTATTTTGATAATCAAGTTTCTATATTGCTTATTTTTTCAAGAAAAAAACGTGAAAGTTCCAGTTTCTCTTATACAGGCATTTGTTACTTTTCTTTGTTTCGCAATAAACTGATTATCCTGCAACAGAGAAAAACAAGCACTTTCAATAAGCCGGGACTGTTGTACAATATACAATTATTACTATCCTAACATATTGAGTCATAATAATTAATAGAAAAAATAACTGGTAATCATGAATAAATAATACAAAATTAAGGTCATCATACATTTCCAACCAAGTTTTCATGGTAACACTTTACAATAAGGTACACAAAATGTGCTTAGTTACTGAGTAGTGAATAAGGAACGACTAGATAGTTAATGAGGAGTTCCTCAGTGACTGATTTAAGAACTGATGGTTAGTTACTGGTAAACAGACTGGGGGGTACTGTATTAATGAATGATCGTTAAGGGTTAGTTAATGAGTTACTCTTTTTGATGCATTACTTTACTTGAGGGGACACAAACTGCTTAAGTAATGGTATGGTAATCATTAGGTAATGGGTAACTACTCTTTTTGATGCATTACTTTACTTGAGGGGACACAAACTGCTTAAGGAACGGTAAGGTAATGGGTAACTACTCTTTTTGTATGCGTTACTTGAGTTTACGGTACCCAAACTGCCTAAGTAATGGTAAGGTAAGTAATGATGACTCAAGCAGTAACACGTGAGTCGGATCCACATCCACCAGTCGATCCAGTGTGGGACCCAAGCCAGCCGAAGATGGCCGGTTTAAAAGTGCCCTGCTGCAGCGGACCATTGCTTCAGTCAAAGTCACCCAGGAACTCCTCATTAACTAACCATTAACGAATTATTCATTAATACAGTACCCCCCAGTCTGTTTACCAGTAACTAACCATCAGTTCTTCAATCGCAGTCACTCAGGAACTCCTCATTAACTAACCATTAACTATCTAGTCGTTCCTTATTCACTACTCAGTAACTAAGCACATTTTGTGTACCTTATTGTAAAGTGTTACCGTTTCCATGAATGCTAGTGTTTGACTTTGTTAGATTAAGTTACATACACTGTAACATATATGTTTAATAACTCTTCCTAAAGGAATTGTCTTTTTTTTTGGCAGCACAGTGGCACAAAAGTAGCCTTTTTTAGTTACAGTAAAAAAAAAGGCACAAATGTACCAAATTACAAACATTTTGTGCTTTTCATTTGTATGTGTCTAAAGCTGTAAAATTGACTCGTATCTCATTTTATTCGTACATCAAATTGGAAGCACAGCTTTTAAATGTACTATACTGTTATAAGTTGAGGTTCCATAATATTGGAGATCTACACAGTACCACCCTGTGTGTTTGTTTGTGTGAGCATGAACAGATATGATTCAGTTTCTGTAAAATGCTAGCATGTGAACCGGCCAGTTCATGCATGTTTTTTTTTCATGTGCACTTTATATAATTATTTGTATACGCAACCATGAAAGTATGTGTCATGTGCATGTATGCAGTACGCACATCTGTGTGTTTTTTATCATCTCGATGGAAGTGATGGTGTCTCTATGTCTGTCTGGGGTAAATCCTCGCCATCTGTCTGTAATTGACTCATTTCTTTTATACTGGAACCCTAAATGGTTTAATCACACATCGTATGGAAAACAATCCATCTTTGGATCTGACATCCATTCCACTTCAAAACCCCAAATTGCTCCCATAAAGGGCCCTGTATGACACACACACAAACACACAGCTGTTTGATCTTATCTGACTGCTGTCTCTCTCAGGTTGCACAGTTTTCCCTTTCAATCCGCATTCTGCACCTCTCTGCACTCAATCACCAGGGTTCACAGCTTGGTGTGTGTGAACACCTAAATGTGTTTGAATGCCTACGATGAACGTGCATGTGTCTGCACTGTTTCTTGACTATAGCGGGGCACGCCTAATTGCTGTAAGACATTTCCTGTTAAACTAGTGCAGAAAAACATCTCAGAAACCTCACATTTCCTTATTTATAGGGTGTGACAAAATGTGTTTGGTGGCCATAAATTACTCATTTGCCCATTTTAATACTAAATGTGTGTAATCCTACACCTGTATGGTTAATTGGTTATTCCGACTGTTAGCAGTTGTTTGTACTTTTGTCCCTCTGTCCTTATTCATTTGGGGTCACGGTTGCGTTGTCAGTTTCGTTACCCACGAGTTTTCCCGCAGAGTGGTCATGGAAATTGTTTCCAGGTTGCTTGGCAGCATCAGCAAGCAAAAGAGAGGTGTTGCTGACAAATTACAGGCCCAGCATCGGAGTCGTCACGTCCAACTCAACTCACCTCATTATTCCTCTTCCCAGCATCTCTCTTCCTCCCTTCATCCCTCCGCTGACCAGCGGCTACCTTACAGCCAAGACAAACTGTCTCTCTGAAGGGATTCATAACAGTTCATATACAGTACATGGTTCATATTCACCAGCACAGTCTTGTTCCCATATACAAACAGTGGAAATGTATGGAAACCATGTGATGCCAATATGATACTGAGCTCGTGTAAGTTGCTTCATTAAAGTTACGTTTTTTAACTTGACCCCTAAATAACCTTTGTAATAGTATAATGTAAAAACCTTTTTTTTTTATATAACGTTTTTTTTTTCATCACAGTATTTAACAAGCTGTCAATCTCAATAGAATATATATATATTTGTAGATGAGAATAAATACATGTATTCCACACTTAATATTATGTGGCTCTGTGAGAAGTTCTCTGTTTCCTTTCTAATAACGAGGGCAGTTTGGTTCAATAACCTGCATTTGTCTGTCTCTTTACAGGAACTTGACAGCCTGGCTTATCTCGCAGACCCACGCTTCAGCCCTTACCAGGGACACAACGCCTTCAGAGAGAAGTATTTTAGCGGAGTAAACAAGAGGTCTGGCAAGGAGGACAACAAAGCTGCTGTCAATGGAGAGTGAATGAAGCTATTTCCTCAACATGAAGTGTGAGTGTCTTTTTATAGATTAGAGAAAACAAGTCAACACCAGTGGACTCAAAGATGGGAACAAACTCCTCGCTTATTTCTTATAATTTTTAAAAACCTTTTTCACGATTTTAATTATGGTAATGTTTTATGCCTGTACTTATTGCTTTCCAAATAAATTGTTAAAATACTAGTGTCATTTGACTGCCTGAATGCAGCCCTTGTTCATTTGTAAATATGGGGTACACATTTAAGGTTAAGAAGTGCACTTCCATAAAGTGCCTTTACGTTTCTAATATAAAGGTTAAACTACAAAAACAATGGATCCTAAACTTCCCATAATGCAACTAAAGGGTGGCTATCATTACTCCCTCTGTGCCTGCAACACGTGGCTGACATAGTTTTCTCTGTCTGAGTCGTTCTCCCCATTTTTTTATTATGGAAATTGAAAGTGGACCTATCATGCTATATTTGAATAATATATTGTAGGGCCATACCTATATAAAACATGTCTGTGAAGTTTTTTTTTCAAAATACCAAACAGATCATGCATTTTAGCCATGCCTCATTTCGCTCTATTTGCTGTTTCCAGCCCTGTTTTTGAAAGGGCTGATTCTGTGATGTAGCCCGTTAATGCAAATGAGCTGCAGCTGACCACGCCCCCCTGCAGGAGAGGGGAGCGTGCTCTGATCAGCTGCTGGGCTCTCAGAAGAGGGGGAGGAAAAGAGAAGCTCCGTCCTCCATGTATTATTCTTATATTATTATTATATAGAGTCGTTATTCATTTGTTTTAAAGCTCAATAAATAACAAAGAATACCTTTGACCGGCACTTTTCTAATTTTGTCCGGAAGATTTAAACTTTAACGGACATGTTGACCGGCGAAAAAAAAATCTAACTGAAACTCTGCCGCATGGTCCCCTCATTCCTTGGAAGAGGCGGAGAGGTGGGTGTTTGTCATCTGCTGGTGGACTAACCGGAGAGAATTACAGCAGCAGGAGCAAACGCTTGCCTCGGGGAGGGAGAAAAAGAGCCAGAGCGTCCACAGCGGAGAATAAACAAAAGGGCAACCATGGCAACCATGCGCGGGAAGTCTTCTTCGCTGCGTTTGTGGCAGGACTACAGCGCCACTTACAGGCCTGGCATATGTACTACATCGTCTCCAGCGCTTTCGAGCGACAATGGCCGTGGCCGTGACCCAACCTCTCATTCCCCTGATAGGTGGAGAGTTGCCCATATAGGCGGAGCACCCCTTTTCTGACGTCAGAAAAATTAACGTCTGTATCAGCTCCGTTGCAGCCCCGTTTTTAGAGATTTGGGTATGGAGGAAAAGAGAGAGGGTTGTGTTTTCTGACACTTGGTGAGTTCCCTGACACACCGGGGACACATATTCATGTATAAAAGACGTACAAAAGTGTATTTAGCATGATAGGTCCCCTTTAAGGAAACATTTTGAATAAAATGTATTCAACATTTATTTTGCGGGGCCATATAAGGGTTCTATCTAATTTTATACTCAAAGAGACTGAGACCAATATTATTTTCTTTCACCCTAAAAAATGTAATACGAATAATGATTTCTTTAAATTACTGAAAACTAAACCAAAGGTTGCTAACCCCGTAGCAGTGCTTTAATACCCTAAAACAGAATGTAAAGCGGCATTTAGAGCCACAGTCTTGCTTTATTCAGACAAAGGCAGCATGTGTAGGCGAGTGAGGCCTCCCTGCTCAGGCAGGACCCCAAACTACAGGGCGTCCCCCCCCTCACCACACACCACTACAGTTAGTCAGCAGCTTTTGTTGTTTTCCGACCACAGTTTACATGCAGCCCGGCTCATTATTCATCTCATGAGAGCGACGCAGCCGGCCTTTATGTACATTACCCCTTTGCTTTGTTTATCAGTTGGGCCCCTGCCTTTCCACCACACTTCCCCGTTCACCCTGTTTCACCGACAGTGAGTTCCAGGCACCATCACATGATACCCCGCTCACCATCGTTTGCGGTGCGCGTTGTTTACAGTTCCCACAGTGCCCTTTTGTTGTCTAACATCATCAAGCAAGACATTTAGAAACGTGGCCCCTCTTTACTCACCACTGCTCTCCTCTCACCCTTTAGCATTTTCATAGCATGTAAATGAGTAACGCGACAGAAGACCCTCTCTGTGTTGAGGATAGTCGTTTGAACACAGTCTCTCTATTACTGTTTAAGGAGTGTTGCGTGTGTGCATTCACTCTGCAACAATATGGTGATAACCCATATTTTTAAAGCTCTCGATGTCAAGCGAAGTAGACTATAATTAGAGAGGGGTGGGGGGGTTCCTCTCTACAAGATGTAATGCCGTCCAGACGTCGCGAAAATTGTGTGTGTGTTCTGGTCTAATTGTCTTGGTTTTATGTTTGCAGTTTCCCAGTGTAATTCGGTAGAAATAAAATAATAGCCTCTTTCTTTAATACTCACTGTAATATCGTTAACATATTTTAACATTTACTAAGTAATGTTTTTAGCAACAGAGGCTCAATTTATTAAGCTTCCTTACTTTACACCGAATCCTTAATAATTGTCCACCTTACCTCCACCAGTTCTCCCGCCCTCCTCTTCCTCGCCTCACCCGCCTCACCTCTGCCCTCTCCTCCTCTCTCCTGCCACCTACAGACCTCTCTTGCTCAAAGGGGAACTCCCTGTAGGAGGAGAGGGCCGCTGTTTTGGAACAATGGTTCCTGATTAAACTCCCTTCAGAATGCTGTATCAGCTGCTTCACTACGAGAATCTCAACACATACACACAGCCGATTTATTTATTTCTCCCTGTTGTGATTTTATTTATTGCACACATGCACATGCATGAGAACAAAAAACAAATACAAAACCGCACCACACCTGGTATCAATAGAAAATGAAATAGTACAACAAGTTGGTAATTAGATTATTTGCTTTGAGACCGTAAATGAGATGAGAAGATCGAAGATAGAAGTCTGTATGCTTGATATGAAACAAGGCAACAGCCAATTAGCGTACATAACTTAGCATAACAAAGACCAACGGGGCAACAGGGACGTACAAAAACTATAATTTTTAGACTTCATCCGCAATTTGCCATAACATGCACATTGAGTGAGTGTAGGAGGATTTTGTGACCTTCGCAAAGAGCCAGGCTGTTTGCAGTCTTTAATGCTAAGCTAACTAGCTGTAGCTTCATAAAAGCTGTATCCATCTTCTCAACTAACTCTCATGCAGAGAGTTGAAAAGAGGTTGTTCAACAGTTTATACCTTTAACAACTAGCAGAAGTTGACATCACATGCACAAAACACGAAAGACTTGCAATCAGAGGAAGAGGTGTATCTAGCATTTATCAAGATGTGATTCTTGACCTGAAACACATGTGTGGCACCTGATGGAGTCTGTCACAGGGAGATTGTATCTTTTGTTAAGACTGTGTGTGTTTTTAGGAGGCGGTGGTGTGTGAAGTCCAGAGAGAGAGACTCATAGTGCACAGATGGTATTCAGGTGTTTCTACACACACACACACACACACACACACACACACACACACACACACACACATGAGGCACAGGTGCAGTGCACCTGTCCTAAGCAGAGAGGGGAGTTTGGACACCTGCAACTCCCCCACCCCTTCTCGCCTTGCCGCCCCCGCCCTCAGGTCACACTGCTGCCCTCATCCACCCCGGGAAACCCTCTGCAGCCCCTCAGTTGTTGATCGAGGTAAGGTGAGAGCTGTTATCTCAATGTCTGGGAGGAGCAGCTCAGCAGACCTAGAGCCATTATAGTGCCACAAATCACTGCAGGAGTCCCATCTCACACAGCTGTGTGAAACTCAAACCATGCTCAGGGGTAAGTAGAAGAGCAGGATGAGGAATGGAGAGGGAGCAGTCAGAGAAGAGAGGAGATTATAGGGTTTGCTCTTGTTTTACAATCATGGATACAACTTTGGTGCATCTTTTCCCCAGCAGTATTAAATTCAGTGCCACTAGATGACAGACTTGAGTAGAGAAAGCGCTCAAAGTATCCCCCCTAAGTGATTCCCCCAGAGATCCTGTGTGCGCTGCACTCGGGCCTTCAGACTGTTTGCCATACAATCAATGCTGTACAGCTTGTAAACAAACAGTTAGGCTTTTGAAGTGATAGAGCTGCGGTTGAGAAAGTGCAGAGCAGCTCCGGATGCACAACATCCTCTTTGGAGATACTTGCCTGGAAGTGGTGAAGGTTGTTGACCCAGGAAGTAAATGGGGTGACTGAACGGCTTGTCACACAACTTCCTCATCCTTCTTTCACCTATCCACGGCCCATACACTATGACCATATTTGACTGCTGTCTCATCATGCAAGGTTTTATCACTGAGTAAAAAAGCCTGAAGAAACTAAGCTAGTGCCTCTCATGCTTAGAATAAATAGATCCCCAGAGGTCCCACTTTGTGGTTTGTGCAGCTTCTTGTTTTCCTGTTATGTTTCTAGCTCATGAACCCAGAGTCCTCTGGAGCACTTCACACATGCATTGTTGATTCTGTAAAATTACATGCTTGTGTGTGTGTGCACGCATTTATAGGGTCATCACACTTAATACGAGCGGAAAGAAGGGGGAAAAAAGTGTTTGTGGCAGAGAGCAGCAGGGAGCGAAAGACAAACAGTCAATGGTTGTATTTGGATGTGTGTGTTATTTTAGTGTTTATAGTGTTTGTGTGTGTGAGTTCTTGCGGTTGGCAGTGCTGTTCTTCATTAATGAAAAATACTGCTGGATGGCTCCCTTACGCCCTTTTTTAATGACACTTAAATGCCAAGTGGGCACACACTCTCTCACACACACACATACACACAACATAGACACACATCCAACATGGCAAACATGGTGGTAGTGACACATTTCCTTTTCTACTCATAAATGATCATAAAGACCTAATGTCGCTAACTCGGCTTATTATAAGACACCAGTGAGGATGTAGCTGTTATGAGACCATTTTTCATCCATTCATCCATTTTCCCTAGCTTCCTGTTCGGGGATTCTGGGAGCCTAATGCAGCATACGTTGGGCTGAAGGCATGGAAACAACCTGGACAGGTCTGTCCTCCAGCAAATACAGACACACCCCCTCACGCTGACATCCACACTAATGAGCAAATTTGAGTCTTCAGTCTCACCAGACTTTATGTATTTGCAAAGTGGGAGGAAATGGGAGCTG